AGAGGATTTTTCTGCAGCCCCGTTGCACGTCATGCAGCGCTGCAACTCGATGCCCGCCAAACAAATGCAACTCGTTCGTCCTGGACGTCTAATCGGTTAAACACAGTAGAACTCTAGTGGAGACAGTCAGCGGGACCTCTCCACCTGGACCCGGTATTGTCGCTATAGAGTCGTGATGCGACTTGTGGTGACGCCCGCGGTTGGAACTCAAACACAGTGCGAGGGGAGCGCCGTCTTCCAGTAAGCAGGCAGTTGTATTGAGTTACCCCGCAGAGCCAAAGATGAAAAGTGAGTCCGGGCGCTCAGGCGCTCGACTCAGATCCGAGAACACTGGATATCTGCAGCTATCCACTCGGTCTCAGTATGTCATATACTGTGACCGTTGGTCGCATACAGTGGTGGGGCACTGGGTGTGAACCTAGCCCACGTCAACACCACTAGGCCGGGACAAGGCGATGTGTGTTTGCATGTTTAGTCCTACGGGAGAAGCCCGTTGATATGGGACTGTACGTCCTTTGGCAGCAGTCTGTAGACGTAGCTTAGCTGTCACTTTCCGTTCTGCTTCATAGTACACTAGCCGGTGTTTAGGGAGTACGGCCTCCCTCTGTCTGGTGTTTCACGTTTTGGTTGTTGCCAGGGAGCGGAATCGGTCACATATACACACTCCCATATATGGGCAGATTCAAGTCTCTGCTATGACGGCTACTCCAGCTATCCATGCCATGGGAAAGGCATGGATCGGCTTGCATTGGTTCGGACATGGCTTCAACCAATCGTCCAGACACAACAGACTGGACATGGTCGGCAACGCGGCCCTGCTCTCCAGTGCAAATGTGTGAGTAAAATCAAGGGAAATAAATTACACTTGTCCCGTGGTAAAATTAATTGCGTGGCACTATAGGACCTTCCCTCCTCGGACGAAACACTTGGTCCATCGAGTAGCACAACAAGCATAGCCAAAGAATGGTGCCGTTCGTTCGGTCGCATTCCCTAATGTAGACTCTGCTGTTGTTGTCATATCCGTCGTCTTCGAGAGGGACGTATATGAACGTTAGGAGGTGAGTGCATGATGCACACAAGACCTTTGAAGTAGTGGATGCATGACTGCCATACTCAGTAGAGAAAGAGAAGAGAAGCTAATTGTACTAGAACGGAGGCGGGTTGCGGTTGTGACGGCTCCGACGCTCGACCCACGCGCCTCGTAGGATCGGGTTCAACTCAAGAACCAACTCGGCGGGAAAGCGCCCAGGAAGGGCCGTGTCGTCCGGCAGCGCCAAGAGACGATGACTATCCATTCGTACGGGCGTGTCGACTGTGATCGGGATCGGCTCGACGAGGGATGGATCTGGTCCTTCAAGCTCGTTGTTGGTGATCGAAAAAAGCTTGTACTCGCGCACTTCCATGTCGGGCGAGACGTAGACGCAGAGCACGTAGCGCAGACCGGGAAAGGTGCAGTATCGCACGACCTTGGCGTTCATGCTTCGCCAACCTTGGGAGACGCCGACCTCGACCTTGAGCGTATGGAACTCGCCCCAGCGAAGGTCGAGGGGCCAATCGGGAAAGATGGCGTCAGTCTCCATAGCAGGACCGTAGCTGCAGTCGGGCGATAGCTTGGGCAGCTTGCTTGCCGCTGGTTCGTGGGTCGTGTCGACGTACGCGTCGCGGCGCCCCTTGAGGACTCGATGGTTCGTCCCCGTGGCCTCCGGTCTCGTGGCCTCCTTGATCGCGTCGTCGATGCCATCCGCAATGCTAGCGTGAAGACCACCGCTCATCTCGATGAGGTAAATCGAGTTGCTTCGAAGCTCAAAGTAGCGCGACTTCATCGCTTGGTCTTCCGACTCGACGTAGCGTTCCCAGTCGGCCTCAGTCGCAGAGCACACCAGGAAGCCGTCGTTATCGATCATGTCGAGGGCAGCCTGCACGTCATCCCAGTCCAGAGCCTCGATGGCTTGGTTGATGCGCTTCACTGGGTCGGCGCGGGGGGCTGGCTCGGCGCCCGTCGTCGTCTTCGTCGAGCACGCTCCGGCGACCATGTTGGCAACTGACCAACGTTGGTCTCAAAATCCGGCATCCGGATATTAGGAGATCTTTATCCGGTAAAATACAATTTATATATTCTTGCTACAATTGTAGTATTACACTATTGTGGCTCGCTGCTCAGTGCTCGCTGCTGGTGAGTAGTTGTACCATGAATATTTATGACCTTGGGAGTACTAGGCTTCGAGCGCAATTCCAATTGTAGACTCTGTGCCTACTGTTGTTGTGGTCACCTCGGTCTTCGTCCAAAGGGCTCGAGATTTGTGTGAAAATTATGAGATTGAATCTACTAACATTACCCGCCATTGCAAGAGGTAGCGGATGCAAAACCCGTGTTCGTGGCTCGAATCGTTGGATAAAGAGAAGCGAAGCTAGTTGCACTAGAACGGGGGCGGGTTGTGGTCGTGACGGCCCCAAAGCTCGACCCATGCGAGTCGTAAAATCGGGTTCAAATCGAGAACGACCACGGGAATAAAGTCCGGAGGAAGATTGTGGTTGTCTGGTAGCGCCAAGAGACGATGACTATCCATTCACACGGGCGTATCGGCTGTGATCGGGATCGGCTCGACGAGGGATGGATCTGGTCCTTCAAGCTCGTTGTTGGTGATTGCAAAGAGCTTGTACTCACGGACGCTCATGTCGGGCGAGACAAAGACGCAGAGCACGTAGCGCAGACCTGGAAAGGCGCAGTATCGCAGCACCTTGGCGTTCATGTTTCGCCAGCCTTCGTTCACGCCGACCTCAACCTTGAGTGTATGGAACTCATTCCAGCGAAGATGGGCCGGCTTGATGCGCCAATGTGGCGCGCAGGGCCAAAGGAGGTTTAAGCGGTCGAACGCCGCCCTACCATTGGCTATCAACAGGCTTTGGTATCCGGAGGCATCTTGACCGGGATCTTGTCGTGCGAGGAAGACATTCGATTAGCTAAAATTCAACGTATTGACAGTCTGACGGGGTTCGAATTGGCGACACTATAAATCACCCACACGAGCTGCGTGGCTGTTGTTCCTTTTTCTAATCTTTTCCTCTCCTTGTGCTCTAGCCTTTTGCCACCTTTTTGCCCCATTGTTGGAGAGCGTTTGCTACCGTTGTGCTGATCCTTTATCTACGGTTTGCCACATTTGTAACCCTTTCCCAACCGTTTGCAATTTTTTTGATACTGACTTGCTACCGACTTGTTGATCTCTGCCTACAGCCTAATATTTCGCTCGCCAACGCGTTCAAGCCGTGGCAACGGTATCATTGATGGTCCCATTGGCTATTACAAGGTTTACTTTCGTATCCGGAAAAGGGTTGACAAGCCAACGGGATGCTTTGCTGTCAGCAGCAACAAGTCGGAACCTTTTCCCACGGAGCGCCTCCCACATTTCATAGAAATTTTTGACAAACCATGAGCACAACGAGCACAACGAGCGTCAAGCCAACCGCTCGTGGCTTCGTGGACCCCGCGCAATCGAGACTCTGGACTGGCAAGCTCGTCGGAAGATCAAGTGATGAGTGCGAGCTTTTTGGAGCATCGAAACAACTCGATTTACATCATCGAGCTTGGCACGGGTCTTCATGGCGCCATTGCGGGTGGCATCGAGCGCTGCATTCTCGCGGCCATGGGAACAGGCGAGAAGAAGGGAATAAAACAAAGTTTATTTCCTTGGGCGAGAAGGACATCGCGGCGCTTCGACGCCACTGAGCAGCCTGTGGCCAACCGACTGCCACAGCTCGCGCCCGACTGCAGCTTTGGCCCTGCACACAGCGTTGGTGTCGTCAAACCTCTCCACCTCCGCTGGTACGAATTCCATACACGCAAGGTTGAGGTCGGCAGTCCCCGTCTGACAACGTAGGAGGCCAATGAATAGCAAAGGTATACTATACCATTATGAATAGGGACCGCGATGACGACACCTAAATATGTGGGTACAATAGTGTCAGAACGGATATTTTCTTCTACTAGTAGTACGCATACTCGCAAGACGTCGACTGATTGACGGGTGCGAGTCAACTGACTTTGCACTACGCATCACGACATCCAACCAGATGCTGAATCGTATGTGGCACACGTCATCTCGATGGCCAGTACTATAATCCGGACAACGCTGCACCAGGCAAGGACCAAAGGTGGGAGAGAGGCTCACGACGACTTGGCGCTAGACTCGGACTTAGCTCACTGGACTTAGCTTAGGTTGCGTGCTCGACAAGCTCGAAGACGAGAAGAAATCGACTCGAGAAGCAGCGAGGAGGGTCGGAATTTCCAAATCGCATCGGCAACCTGAGGACACTAGCATAATAGCTGCCGCCTGTGCGTGCATGGACAGAGCGTGCTTCTTCCTGGCCTCACGCTTGGCGGAGTGATAGACGCCCAGCCGGATCCGCCAATCACAGGCGCATAAAAGTATCTTGACCGAATTTAGGCCAATCCAATCCAAGCAAAAGTATCAATGTGGCTGGACGGAGTCGTTGGTTTGTGGGCTTGCAGAATCAAACACGACAACTCATCACAACGCGCGCATGGATGCGCGCGTGGCATTTTCCAATCGCACGGTCGAATGGGCTGTACCCACAGCATCCTGACCCGTGACGACGAGACGGTGCGGCAGCGGGGGGCGTCGGCACCCGCCTTGCCGCAGCCCTCGCTGCACGTGCCATCGGTGCATGGATCCACGCGTGCGACGGTGCGCAATTCCGTGCATAGCGCCGACTGGGCCGACGCGGATACGCTGGACCCGCTCCAGATCGCCTACTACATTCCGCCGCAGAACGTCACGCGCGTCCGAGCAATCCCGTCCTCGTACATGAAGACCGAGGTGGGGCACTGGCTCGGCCGGCCTGTGCTGCTCAAGTCGGTCGACACGACAAGGTCCGACGACGAGCAAGCGCGCATGCGGCAGAGGCTCACGGCCGAGATCCAGTCGATGGCGCGCATGGACCACCCCAACATTGTACAGTTTCTCGGGTTTTACATCACGCCGAATCGGGACGTGTGCTGCATCACGGAGTTTGCCGAGGGCGGGACGCTCCGCCACCTCCTCGACAACCGTAACGTCTTGGAGCGGCTCACGTGGGGCCTCGAGAAGATCGCACTGGCCATTGACATCGCATCGGCGCTGGCTGCCATGCACGCGCTAAAGC